ACTTTGTAGTTAAATTCTTGTTAAAGTCCTCCTGTGCACGCTCCCGCCGCTGCCATTTGGCAGCCCATTGATTTTTGGCACAAGACCGGCTCACATTTCCAGGTTGTCAGTGGTGACACATAACAAATGTGACACGTCGGCGGAAACGCATAATAAATGCAACGTATACAGTGAAGCGACATATTTATGGATTGTTCCACTTTTTTAGACATACTTGGACTGATGCGACTTATAGGGCGGTGCGACAGGTGCGGCGGAAATTACGGTATTTGTCTGCCTGATCAAAATATTTAATGAGCTAGTAGTTGGATTTTAATGGAACTCTTAGAAAGTAATAATTTGGTATGTATCTATAACTGATTAACTTTTGACTTTTGGAGTTAGCCTGATCCGAGATGGCAGCTACAGCTGATCTGATGTAATAAACACAAAAATGTCAAAACATTGTCCTCGATTGTGCAAGATTTTTGTTTAAAAGTTTGGCATGCGGTGCACAATATGTATTCCTTGAAGGAATGCTAAGCCTTCCAGTCTGTATTTGTTATTTAAGTGAATTTTACACTAACAGAAGTTCAGCTTGTCGTGTTAAAAGGAGTTCTGAGGGTGTAAATAATGTTCGGCTGCTCAGCATGTGTTCATAATAATGACTAACAGTGAGTCGTTAAATGTTAACACGAATAAAAACAACTTCTCCCAACGCAGTGTGGTCTAAAATAAAATGCTCACAACCCCCATTTGACCTTTTTACTGTAGACTTGCTCTGATTTTGTCACCAATTATTGCAAAGAACAAGAAAAATATCCGTTTTTATCCTTTCCTTTTAGTCACTGATCTCCTGCTTGCAGTCAAGTTGATAAAATGTTGTTGCTTGTGTATAAATGTGGCAGATTCGTACAGATTTATGGATTCTCAATTGTTTAAAAAGTCTGAGATCATTTTGTATTTTGGTCACTGTTTTTTTTTATATAAACATTTGGGATAAATAATAAAAATGTCTTAATAATGTGACAGTACTGCAGACTTGATGGCTTTTAGGAAATTAGAATTGCGTTCAATCATTGACCCTGTGTTTTGCACAGATCAAACAAATCACCAGTCAGAAGAACATTTTCATGTTTGCAATCCAATGTTTCATCTGATTTGTGCTGTTTTGAAGGGACAACGCAGTCTGTTTGATTTGGACGTGCATAAAATGTTCAGCCTGCAGTGGACTGCATTCAGCACATGGCTAAATGGGTTTTTAATGAACAGATGCAAAAGCTACATGTGCTTCAACCCCACTCACAAACACAAAAATATGTGTTTATTTGTACACATATTTAGACAATTTTCCAATTTTTACTTTGCTCTCTGTAAGACAACAAAACTGTAGATTGCTCGATCCGCAGCCAGTTGACTCCACAGACAAAAACAGTAATTTGTCAGAATAACTCGGGTGTTAAAACATTACAATCACCAGTGGTGGAGAAAGTACTCAAACACTGTACTTAAATAAAAGTACAAATAAACAGACAAAAATGTGCTCTAGTAAAAGTAGAAGTACCACATTAACAATTTTACTCAAGTAAAAGTAAATAAGTGCTTGCTTTTAAAATACTTAGTATTAAAAGTAAAAGTACTTCCTGAATGTATTACCTAATGTAATTGTCTACATATCTTTAAGTGTGCCTACCGTATGTATATTTTCTGTAATACATTAATAGTGTTGTGTCATTTTAATGAACGATGCTGCAGATAATACATGTTTTTATTGTGTTTACTCTGTGACACAGTTCACACTTGGACTTGTGATTCTGTGCAGCAGAATTTCAGGGATGACCTCCAGAGTTAAATGCCATTAATCAAAATAAGAAAGAGGAATGATTATACCTTTGAAAGTTTTTATTTAACACAAATCAAAACCAATGTGTCATTTTAACTGCAGTAAACACATTTAAGTAAAAGTTGTCTGCCTGAACAAAAGGGGCATTAGACCAAACAAAGGAACATCTGATCATTTCAACTCCAGTTTGTCATCAACTCTAGTTCAAATACTGTCTATTCAACCTTGTAATGGGTCAATATTGAACAATATTTTAACTTCCTGACACCATTTTTAAAACTTGGACCTGAGTGTCGAGCCATTTGGAGACATCTCTTGTCTCCTAACATCATGAACTGACACATTTTAATATTGCAGCAAGAATTTCTTGTTCAAGTTCAGAAGAAGTTGGTTTTCAAAGATTTTTGAGTTCAATCTGGCTCTTTTGATAAATAAAATCTGTCCTGCTGTACTGAACAGTCTTTCAATAAGTCCATGGGTGGAGCATATCTTCTGGCTGACTCTCTTGCGGTGGAATACATTTTGGGTGTGTTAGTGGTGCTGTGGGTGCACCCAGCTCAGTGACATATATACTAGAATATATGTCATTGGCCCAGCTCTTCTTGAATGTGGGCCTAACGTTACCTGCCCACTTTGCAGTGATTCAATGGACCAGCTCCCCTCTCACCGTTGGTTACTTTCAAAGTAACAAACAAATCAAAAAGCCGCAACATGAATGTAACTTGTAATGCAACACATTATAGAAATGTAGTGTAGTAGAAAGTACAGATACTTGATGTAAAATGTAGTGGAGTAAAAGTATAAAGTACCCACATTTAACTCTACTAAGTAAAATACAGATACACGAAAAATGTATTTTACAGTAATGAAGTATTTGTACTTAGTTACATCCCACCACTGACAATCACACACTATTACAAACATTATGAGGCTGCAATTCAGATCACAGGTAATGTAAAATGGCTGTATTTGTGAAAACATTCTGGCGTGTTTGAAGTGAGAGTTTTAATTCATTCTTCTGCAGGTTTACTAACAGTGAGGTTCATCAGTGAAATTATTCTTTAGTTTTGATTTTTATTTACCATATGTATGCGAAAAAATCATATTTTTCTGCTCATCTTGTTTTTATCAGCCCATTGTTTGCTCTACCTGTATGTTGCTCCTGATGTCAAATAATCTAATTAATACCTGTAACACTTAACTATCTCCTTCACCTATAAATATATTGAACAAAAACATAAATGCAGCATTTTTATCTTATCTTATTTTTTGTTTTTGCTCCTATTTTTCATGAGCTGAACTCAAAGAACTACGACTTTTTTCTTTTTCTCTCAAATATTGTTCACAAATCTGTGTAAATCTGTGTTCTCCTTCGCTGAGATAATCCATCCACCTCACAGGTGTGGCATATCAAGATGCTGATTAGACAGCATGATTGGTGCACAGGTGAGCTTTAGGCTGACCACAATAAAAGGCCACTCTAAAATGTGTAGTTTTATCACACAGCATAATGTCACAGATGTCACAAGTTGTGAGGGAGCGTGTGATTGGCACAGATTATTTAGATTTGATTCTTATCGTCTGTTTAACTATGGATTGTTTTGTTAAGGCAGCTATTGAATTTAAAACAAGTTTCCCAAAAGAAAAAATACAGTAAATTATTTTAAGTTGACTTTCAAATGCCAAAAGAAAATATTCTTTATAACAAGCACCTCTTGAGTAGAAGGGTTAAATATATAACTCTAGGTAAAACAAAAATTATAGCGTAGCTTAAGATACCATGCACCAAGCCAGGGTAAACATCTGGAGTCAGCCAGATTCAAGATGGCTCCCTCACCTCATCAACATGAGCAAACACAAAAATGGCCAGTTGGCTTTAACTTGGTCAACTTTACAGATATTGAGCAAAAATCTAGTGCGGTAGTAGCTGAGAGTAGTTTCCAACACATTCTTCAAGCACTAAAATATTGCATCATACTAGGAAATGTGTCTTCAGACAAAGACAGCCACACTGAGCGAGATTTGTGTTGTAAACTTTGTCACGCGTGGCAGCAGGTTATTGCTTCAAAGACTAGATTTTTGACAACGTACAGTCAGTTTGAAATATAAAAATATAAATATGAAACTGTTTAAAAAAAATGCTTCAAACAAAATTTTAATTTAAAATGAATGTAATTAGAAACGGCCATATCTTAAAGTAATGTGTTTCTGCCTTGCATGCCAACAATGTTAAGTAAGTTATGTGATCAATTAGCACTTGGATGTATTGATGCAGATGACATTCAGCTGCAACTACACCAACTACACCAACTACACCAACTTTAGCTCAATATCTGTACAACTGACTGAGCTATAGCCATTTATGCTAAGGCCAGGTCTCTGTGACAGCCATCTTAAATGTGCAGTGTCACATGTACATCAAATAAATGCTTTTCTGATCATTTCCATTAAAAAGTGTCCAGTGGTTTATAAACTATTTCGCTAACAGACAGACAAACATACACTGGCCATTGGATGATCTCACACTTTTCACTGCAATGGGCAAATAAACACAGAAAATACTGTATATAAAAGAAACATTTCTTAAATGTCAAACGTTAGTATTCAGTCAGTCTTATTGTACATTTGAAAATATGGATATTCTTTATGCAGAAGGAGCCTAAAACAAGTGAATGCTCTTCACAGTTCTGTCCTTTAGAGCGTTCATCACCACGCTCACAGATCTGAGTAATATAGAAAGGCTGACTGGTTGTCATCCAGAGGGCATGTTTGTTGAAGCACTGTGCTGAATGATCCAAGATATTTAACATCTTCCAATGAAGAAAGTATTAATAATCAGATACTCATCTTCCTCATAACTTCCGAGGGTTTTCAACGAATCGTTGTTACCTATTTTTAAATATGCTTTCGTTGATGAGTCATTTGTGTGCGAATGAATTTATCATTTGAATTTTATAAAATGTGTTCTCAAATGTTTGACATTTCAAATATTCTCGTTCGTGGGTTTTTCTTTATTTATGCCTCATCTTTGGTGTTCTTCGCTCTCGGTTATTTGTTCCCTCCGTTATACGAAAACTTTTTGCTTTAACAGCTTTTTAGCTTCTGAAGTTTTACAGCAGAAAATGTGCAATAAATTTTGTGTATGTGTCTATTTAAGTGTGTTCTCCTCCCCCTGCAGTAAAGAAGAGTTTCCTGAAGAGCAAGAAGAGGAGCAGCATCACGCTGCCTAAAGGGGGCATGGTCGAGCTGTTGGTTAAAGGGGCCAAAAACCTAACCGCTGTCAAGTCTGGAGGCAGTTCGGATACTTTTGTGAAAGGGTGAGAGGCCCTCTGCAGGGGCCAAACCTTTAAGAAAATGCATTTGTCAGGATCCACATCAATGCCCTAATTATATTTCACATGACTTAACCATTGCTACGTTTTGAATAAAAGTCAAAGTAAAAAATTTGGTTCAGAAAAGTGTCCAATGATAAGACATGAACAAAAACATGTTGAAGGACTTTGACTCTTTCAACACAGGAAACACATCCAGAGACAAACACATGGATACTTTAGCTTATTTGTGTGCCTTTGCAAATATTTTAGACTCAGTATAAATCTGTCAGCTGTTTACTTCGTTTTTGGGCCATTGTGTCTTTAAAGTTTTTGTTCCTGTCGTTTCTTTGTGTTTTAGTATTTGTTATCCTGTTGAGGTTGTTTTGTGACCTTCTAGTGTAATTTCTGTAGCACTGCAATTAGGGATGCACAATATTGGATTTTTGGTCGATATCCGATATGCCGATATGTTAAAACTTATTCGGCCGATAACCGATGTTGATACTGATATACGTTCCTTTGTCAGAACATAGCCCTCTTATTTAGACTTATTTGCTACAAAAATTGTGTAACAGCTGTAAGAGCTGGTGACATATATTCATAAACAGCCATATGATATGCATAGCACTTTAACTTATATTAAATGAAAAATGTTAAATGTTATTAATTAGCATTAGTCACCTGTGATGCTGTCTCACTTGTGGAGGCTTGTTCCAGGTTCCTAGCTGCAGTGAGGGATCCTCTGCACTCTTGTGCATGAAGGACAGACTTTTTAAGTTCAAAGTTTTTGTCTATCCATTGTGCTGTAAGACTAATCATGCTAATGGGGCTAACATGACGTCCAGATGTCTGTGGTAAAACTCACCCAACAAGTCGTGCTATCGGCTATTAACTTCTCAGTGATGTCAGAAATGGCGGCTTGTAACTCGGGTAGTTACTTCGGAAAAATATTTCAGACTGTGGACGATGTAGCGAGGCTCAACGTAATCCATAAATCTTCGGAATCCGACATCCTCACCAACAAAAAATAAAACTTCTACACCGCCGATATTTTGAATTTTCCTCTTCGCTGTGAGATCAGGTAGGCGCATATGACGTCATCGCGTTGCGCTGCAACGTCCTCACATTGCGCTACAATGTCATCACGTTGTGCTGCCACTGCAAACAAAAACAGCGCCTTTTATATCGGTGAGTTATTTTAATGGAATGGTCGATGTCCAATATTGAACTTTAACGCTAATATCAGCCGATACCGATGCCATGCTGATAATATCGTGCATCCCTAACTACAATAATACAGCCCAGTACTCCTACATGTGTACTTTAATCGTTAGTCCAGGGTATTTATAAAATATTTAAAGGAGTGCTTGCAGGGTAAGTATGGGGTATATATGGAAGAGTTACAGGTACTTTTAAATATATTTAACAGGGATGTACAGAGGTTCTTATAGGGTACTTACCAGGTTTTGTACAGGATATGCACTAGGACACTTAAATCTTGCTTAGGGATGTTTACAATCTACATTAAGGGGTACCTGTAAGGGTACATACAAGGTACTTACAGATAATATACAGTGTACTCACAGGGAACTTACATGGAACACACAGAGGTGATAATTGGGGTACTTATGAAACCCCTATAGGGGTACATACGGATAATTTATGGGAATAATTATTAGGTGTTTACAGAGATATCTTAAAGGCATGTTTGGAGTACTTACAGTATAAGGGCAACAAACTACTTGCGGGAGTACTAACAGGGAATGTACAGGTCGCCTACAGGGCCCAGTTGCATCATGAAGTGACTCCTTTACTCACAGGTTACCTACATGGTAAGTTTGGTCAGTTTTTAGGTATGATTTTGACAAGTAATACAGACATGATATTTATGTTGGGTGGCACAGTGGCTCAGTGGAAATGTTGCCTTTCAGCGTGAAGGTTACCAGATCAAATCTCGGCCAGGGGACCTTTCTGGGTGGAGTTTGCATGTTCTCTCCGTGCATGCGTGGGTTTTCTCCGTGTACTCCGGTTTTCTCCCACAGACCAACAACATGCATGTTAGGCTGATTGGTAACTCTAAATTGTCCCTAGGTGTGAGTGAGAGAGTGAATGGTTGTTTGTCTCTATGTGTCCCTGTGATGGACTTGCAGCCTGTACAGGGTGTCCCCCACCCCTCACGCAGTGAAAGCTGAACATGGACACCAGTGACTCCTGCGACCCAAAAAGGAAGAAGCTGTTAAAGATAATGGATGGATGGAGATCTATGTCTTTGTGTAGACCTTGGCAAAATTAAAGTTCTTTCGTAATTTATTTTTCTAATTACTTCAGAATGATTTATGACTTCACAATCACTTCTCTTGATCAGTTATTATTTTATTTTCATGTTTATATTTTTCAGTTTTTAATTGTCCTTTTTTGCTCGCTTCTTTATTTAATTATTTTACAAATGGACATTTGTATGTCTGCTATAAAGTTTTGCTTTGCGTTAGTCTTGTTCATGTCTTTTTTCTCTAGCTGTATTGGCTTTTGAATTTCTAACAACAACAAAAAACGTCTCATATAGCATAATAGCATAGCATCACTTTTTAGAAATTGGGTTGTAAAGAAAGCACAGCAAGTGCTGAAAGTAAAGTGAAGTTGTGTACTTTCTCCTAGATACCTCCTCCCTGACAATACCAAGTCAACGAAGCACAAGACGGCGGTGGAGCGACGCACTGTGAACCCACAGTGGAACCACACGTTCACCTACTGTGGCCTGCAGCCAGGAGACCTGAACAACATCTGCCTGGAGCTGACTGTGTGGGACAAAGAAGCTTTGTCCAGTAACGTCTTCCTGGGAGGAGTCAGGCTGGGAGCTGGCACAGGTACGACTTTCTGCAGGAGATTATAATAACCTGGGAAAATAGTTTAAAATGCATTTTGACGTATTCCCCCTCTTTAAAGATGAAGGGTTTTAACCATGATTGTACAAACACTGCAGTACTAAGCTATTATATTTACTGTCTTAAATAAATCAGAACCTACATACATATTTATTGATTCTAATTAGATTCCCAGAGAGTCTGGTGCATAATAAAACCAGGATGTTTGTGTTCTAATGTGTCTCCTCTCTCCCCAAGGTAAAAGCTACGGAAATGAAGTGGACTGGATGGACTCGTACGGGGAGGAACAGCAAGTATGGCAACGCATGATCGAAAACCCAGAGGTTCCTCAGGAGTGTACTTTGATGCTGCGGTCAAGCATGCGCAAGTGCAGCGCGTGAGCCGGATCGATCGCACAGTCAAAGGGGATCAAAGAGAGGGAGAAAGAAGAGGTCTGAAGTTATGAGACGAGAGCTGGAGAGGCAGAGCAGTCAGGAGAAGTGAGCGAACAAGAACTCAAACGCTTCTGAAGGACCAGTGTCCCTCTCCAAACTTTCTTTCATGTTCAGATCACTTCTTGTTTCAAGCACAGCCGGCCATGCCTTACTCACTCGTCCATACGTGCCCCTATTGACCAAGCTCTGCTGCTGCTTACAGCTGTCTATAAAAGCCCCTCTTTGTATTCATCTGTAACCTCTAAATAAGCACATGGTGACTCCTAACATGTCCGTCCTTGTATTGTCTGTGAGCTGTTTCTGCATGTGATGGAGAACATTCATCAGACATTAGACGAGACATCGATCAATAGAATAAATAGAAACATTCCCTTTATAAATGTGATCTGAAGCACAGGATGATGCTAAACATCATCACTAGTTGTGTACTAAATGGGAGGAAAAGCAACTCGTTACTGCATTAATGCTCACTTTAAGATGTACTGTAATACAGCTTTACATTTAAAAACAGCATCTTGAGTCCCCCACTACACACACACACACTGTAGGTCAACACAATCTATCTCAATTAAATTTTTATGTCTATGTATTTTCAAATGAGTCATTATAATTTAAGTTCCAAAGAATATAGAAGCATTTACTGTATTTTCTGGCGTATAAGTCACAGGTTTTTTTGCATAGATTTGTCAGTCCTGCGACTTAGATGCCGAAGCAACTTATATATGGTTTTTTTTTCCATATTCATAACGCAATTTTTGACTGAAGCTTTACATTTCGAAGAACTGCAATAGTGAGTCCTCCCATGTGCGCTCACTTCACTCAGCTGGTGCAGGTTGAAGAACGCTGGAGAGCTAGCGGCTCCAGCCCCGATGGATGGATGGTTGGATGGATGGATGGATGGATGGATGGATGGATGGATGGATGAATGGATGAATGGATGGATGGATGGATGGATGGATGGATGGATGGATGGATGGATGGATGGATGGATGGATGGATGGATGGATGGATGGATGGCACAGCACCACCCAGATGAAATGAAGCTGTTTTGAATGTTAAAAAAATTGTTTTGAATAAACTCATAATAACCGCTACGGGTTAGCGATGATGTATAATAAATGTGACTTATACGCCAGAAAATATGGTATTTGTATTTCTTATCTTAATTTTTTTCAAAGGACTGCAACTTAAATTCTCTTGAAGGTAAATTTACAAAGATTGAATGTTTTTTTTTATTTTTATGTTCTTTCGCTAAAAAAGCCCCACCCTTTTCAATTACTTACTCGATAAGTTGTAGAGGATTTATTAAAACGGTCACCTCTTGACAGAACTGAGTTCACGTTGTCCAACCAACTATTAAAAAAAACACCATCATTTAAGCAATTTAGATCAAAATGGAACAACAAATGACAAATATTTACAAAAAGCCGAAAGTATGAAATTTTGACACAACACTACAGATTATTTCAAATATTTCCAAACTGAAACACAAAACTTAACGATGTATCCGAGTCAGCCCAACGTCCTCTTCATTAAACATTTGATTTGTGAGTAAAATGCTGTAAGTCATGTTTAGACATTCAAATCACCCAAAATATGATGAGTTTTAACATACATGGTAACTTTTTGTGGTCAAATCATGGAATTGTACAGCACAAAACTTAAAACACTTCCAACAGCTTCAAGTGTACTTTGTGCTTTACTTTCATTTCAACGATTAATAATCGTGACCACCTTCACTAAGTTAAGTGTACAAACATTTCTACTAAAGCAGTTAAACTGCTCTACTATTTATATTCAATTAATACGCAGATAACAATCATAATTTATTCTCTTGGTGTTTCAAGATCCAGCACTGGGATCTACTGAACTATAGTAACCGATAGATTAGATCATATTTGTGTCTAACAGAATGCTCCATTTGTACGATATGGTGAGGTAAAATGTCTTGCCATGACTCAACCAACCATTAATGTGTTTGTGTGGACATCAAAAATGTACCAGAAACCAAATTCTATAAATAATACTGTCATCCATGTGTGGCAAAGGTAGATAGACTCTAATATAACTTGGTTTTAGTTCCTTTCGTAAATTAATTACATCACACGCTGTAATATATTGTTTTAATATGTTTTTAGTAATCATAATGAAATTCTTTAGAAAACTGTGTGCTCTAAGAACATGGTTTGTCTACAAGTGTGGAGTCCAGCAAGTGCCATGTGTCAAATTAAAAACATAGGTTGGAGAAATCCGTACCTTTGGTTTATGAATCAAACCAAAGGGATTAGTGTGAATCATATGTAAGAATTTTATTTAATGAGCATCATTGTGTTTGAGTGTTTTATATCCATGCTTCTTAAGTTGTGTTTCTCAGAAATCCCATCGAAGCAATGTTGGCGTCAACTATTTACAGGTTGAAAAACAAGCAAAGTAATCATCAAAACCTGAACTATGAAATGAAAAGCAGAATTAGCCAGAAAGCTAAATAGTTTAAACAAACATAAAATACTTAGATGACAAGTGCAATGTAAAATATTTTAACATCCCCTGTAAAAACTTTGTTAGAGTGAGGAAATTAGATTTAAATTATCTCTAATTTGTATCTGAGGAACTTCCACAGACTGATGAAGCCCTTTGGATGGAGGGCGAAACGTCTCAGCACAAAAACAGAAACTGTCCAGATGACATGACTGAACATTGTTGGATTTTATTCCTGGATTATTGAGCATGGACTTTGGTATAAATAGAAACATTTGTAGGCAGTATTTTCTAGGGATGCACAATATTGGATTTTTGGCCGATAACAGATACCCATGTTTTTAATGTATGTTCCTTTGTCAGAACATAGCTTCTTATTTAGGCTTATTTGCTACATAAATTGTGTAACAGCTGTAAGAGCTGGTGACATATATTCAGTAACATCCATATGATATGCATAACACTTTAATTTATATTAAATTAAAAGTGTTAGATGTTATTTATTAGCATTAGTCACCTGTGATGCTGTCTCACTTGTGGAGGCTTGTTCCAGGTTCCTAGCTGCAGTGTGGGATCCTCTGCACTCTTGTGCATGAAGGACAGACTTTTTAAATTCAAAGTTTTTGTCTATCCATTGTGCTGTAAGACTAATCATGCTAACGGGGCTAACATGACGTCCAGATGTCTGTGGTAAAACTCACCAAAGTGCTATCGGCTATTAGCTTGTTGATGATGTCGGAATTGACGGCTTGTAACTCTGATAAGATAACGACAGAAAAATATCTCCGACTTGGTATGATGTAACAAGGCTCAACTTAGTCCATAAATCTTCTGAATCCAATATCCTCAACAACAAAAAAAACTTCCACACCGCCAACATTTTGACTTCTTCCTCTCCGCTGTGATCAGATCAAGTAGGCGCATGTGACATCATCACATTGTGCTGGTGCTGCAGGCATCCTTGTTACTGGGTTGTCATACAAAAACAGCGTCTTTTATATCAGTCAGTTATTTTGATGGAATGGCCGATGTCCAACAATGAACTTTAACGCTAATATTGGCCGATACCAATACCATGCCGATAATATCGTGAATCCCTATTGTTTTCTCCACTTATTTTACAACTAGGGCCGAGATTGGGTAGAGGTAGGACAGCTGACTTGGGATCAGAAAGTTGCGGCTCGACTCCCATCCATTTCCACATGGCGTGGTGTCTCTGAGCAAGACACCTAATCCCTAATTTCTCCCCGGGCATTCAGTAGCTGCCCACTGCTCTGCCTGGTGTATCCAGGTGTGATGGGTTAAATGCAGAGAACTAATTTTGTCATTGTATGGGAACATACAACGATGACAACACATAGCAGTTATAGTGTTGCGTTTACTTCTGTTTGCCAATTTAAATCACTGCCTCTCAGCTGAAACACAGTAAAGCACAACACCTGCTGCACAGACCTTATGCTTACTGTCATTCTGTGCGTACAGTTTATTTTACCAAGATAATCTGTTTTTTTTTCACATCTGACACTTGCTGGGCTTCATATAATCCCTCACTGGTTGACCAAATCACCACTCTGTGGCACAAAGTTTGTTGAATGTCGACCTTGGACTGGTTTTCCTGTAATTTGCCACCACACTGTATCAGTGTGTTAGGACAGAGTGCATGCTATTAGAGACAGAGGTGGAGGCTACACGAAGCAGCACTGATGCTGACATCACTTTACACCTAGACAAGAAAGCGTGATTTGCAGTGTGTTCTCAGGATCCGTGAGATGGGGCTGTGTGTTAGAGAGTGACTCAGCACTGAGAAGAGCTGTCGTCACTCAGGGAGGGGGCTAATAATAATGAGCGAGTGACACTGACCTTGTCCTTGTTGCTCAGGGCTCTGTGATCATTGGTTCTGTGATGAATCATATTTAATAAAAAAAAAAAAAAAAAAAAATCCTAATTTAAACCCCATCAGGACTTCTTCTCTTTGTGTGGAATGCCCATTTTGCCTGCTCGTCCTCCTTAAACCACCTGCTCCACACTGTAGGCGGTCTCCCAGTTACAGTGATGGTAATAATACATATGTTTACTGCATAATTGAGACACTTGTGCAATATCTTATTACAGAAGAATCTCTGATTGTACGGCATGTTCTGCCTGTTTATTGTCTGCTTTCCGAGCATCACATTCACTCTTTTCAAGCTTATTTTCTCCCAAATGCTCTACGAGAATATTTTGGAATAAATACATCTTTCCATAGACTGTATGCTGGTTTTGTTGTTTTTGAGGACTATTGACGATATTAAGTTATCTCTAAATGAACTTTGAGTGCAACTGTGTGTTCTGTGTTGAAAATATTACCCACAAAATAAATACTATATAAACTATGTTGTACAAAAACTAGTATTTAATAAAAAACTTTTCTATCGTTGACCAGTAGTCCTCCAGCTGTCCCTTCAGTTATTCCCTGCCACCTTGAAAGGTGAACAATCCTATCATTGACAGTCTTGGCTTGTCTGTATCCGTCTGTTAACAAAATATCTCATGAACCACTGGACATCTAATGAAACTCATAGAAAGTAATCAATAGGTACACTTCTTCAACAGATTAACTAGATCTGCCACAGCCAACTGACCTCAGCAAACACAAGAAATGGTTAAAACACAATCAAATTTATAAATACCTAGCTAAAACTTGGTGTGGTAGTAGCTGAGAGTCATCTCCGACAAGGAACATCAACAGATTTCTCAAGATCTTTGTGTAAAACTGTCCAACAAGGTGGCTGGCAACATGCATTTTTTAAAGGGAATATACTTATGTTTGCTTTGTTTTGATTTTTAAATTAATGTCTAATTTACTGCATTTTTTAAAATAATTTGTGTATTTAAAGCAGCTTTTTATTCACACATTATCACAAACTGGTGATCAAATGTTTGTAATCTAAAAAGAATAACAATAAATAATAAAGTCAAATGGCATAAAGATGGTGAATCTTATTTTGAAGCAAACTAAACCGACTCACAAAAGATGCATTACACACATTTAATCAGTGTTTGGTAAAGTCAAGAATGCACACGTGCACTGTGCATAACTCACAGAGTACATATTAATGAAAGACATAAGACATAAATATTAGACTACATTTTTTTCCAGAGTTTTACATAAAATAGAACAATAAAACATATTTTATTTGAGAATGTGTATTTATAAAAGAAAAAAACATAAAAAGAATCAATATGACTGTATTGTGTGATCCATTTTAAGCAGCCTCACATCTGCGCCATGACTGGCATGCAAACACTTGATGACACACATGGGCGCACACACACCCCCACACACACACGCACACACAGGTTTGTCTTGCCTTGTCTTTATGGGGACTTTGCATAGACTTCCATTCATTTCTATAGCCTAATCCTTATCCTTACCCTAAACCTAACCCACCAACGGCACTTGAGCCTTATGAGGACCAGGGTTTGGTCCTCACAATGTAGTATGTGTTCATAAATGGTCCTCACAAAGTAACATAAACAAGCACATGCACACACACACACACACAGAGGATGGAGGACAGACTGAGTTAAAAGAGAAGTGTGTGACATGGATGGAAACAGATGATCTGAGCCGAATTGTCTGTTTTGTGATGAGGGAAAAGGTTAAAAAATGGCTGACATTTCTCTTTAGGGGAGTTTTATGATTGACAGGTCTGTCCCGCCCCCTGCTGTAACTCCATTTCATCTTTACGGAGGGGAAAGGTGTCGATGGTGGTAAATAATTCAGCCGCTGTGATGGGGAACGGGTAGCGCTGCTTGTCCAGGCCCTGTTTGTCTACCAGCACCATTTGAAAAGATCTCTGAGGGATCCGGAGCAGTAACCTAGGAAACACACATCAGCTTAGCAAGCAAGAGCGAGCTAAAAGTCATGTTTGCTGAGGGTACACGAGTGTGTGTTTGTACCTGAGCTGAAGGGCCAGTCCTGGTGGGAGAAGCCGGTGCCGGATCCGTCCAACTTGAACCGGGTAAGTCCCAACCAGCTCAATAACTGTCACATGTCTCAGGTCCAGTCCACACTGAGCGTGCTGTTACCACAGAAACACAGACTCAAGTTAAACAGCTATGGTATTAAGTAGAAGACAAAGGAATGCAACTCAAACAAAAGAGGACATACATCAGCAGGTCGGCAGTGAAAGATCAGCCACATTCAATTCCACACACAATTGTATTCCTATTGTTCTATTTCATATAGACTTTGCCCTTTAAGGCTATCGCTAGTGGGTTTATCTGTTCGTGCGCAGCGCAGCACTGAAAACTTTGGTCCACGCCCACCTGCTGTGTGGGCCTCACCCCCGGTCCGTATGAATTACGGTGAGACCGGGTAATCAGCTCCCATTTTTTTTCAGCAAGCAACCAGCACTGCTTTTACAAGAACACAATGTCCTGCACCAGCACCATCCACCTGTGCCCGTCCTGTCAGACAGGCTACATTTTGAGTTTTGACCGGCACGACATCTGTGAAGGATGCCTGGGTCCCCACCATACTGACCTCGCCTCCTCCTGCCATCCCTGTGACCTCATCCCTCCTGAGGAGAAGTGGAGACGATCAGCCTTGTTCAAGACTAACATCGAGGAGTGCCTCTCCGTGACGGGGGACTGTTCGCTGGACTACGCCATCACCTTTTTTGACGCCGAGCCACGGAGCGAATTGGATGATTCCTCCAGAAAAGGCGACGTCAGCAGCAGCCCCGCTGCTCATTCCCTCCTGGAGAGCGTAGTGTTGGAATGGGGGGCGAGCGGATGCCCCCCCCCCCCCCCCCCCCCCCCCCCCCCCCCCCCCC